CTCGCTACATCTTTGAAAACTCACACTGTACCTGAAAAATTTGGTAGCTGCCAACCAAAGCACGTTCACGAACTGCAAGGCGCGATATCCATGGATCCATCTATACAGAAGGGGAACGGGGAAGCCGTGGCCAAAAAGGAGGGTGTAATGTTTGCACAGCTGTAAAAGTGCGTACCTGCTCTTCTCCTTCCCATTGGCTCCGCGGCAGCAATGACCGAGGCACCAGTGGCAAAAGGAACGCCCCGATGGGTCTGAATTGTCCCATTCAAGCAGCTTCAAATGCAATCGTCTTCTCTTGAGTGAGTAGGACCCATCTGTAGAAAAAAGGTTGCAAACACGGTTGCGTGCCTGACGCCATGTTTTTGCTTCTTCTGGCAATGCAGCCACTGGAATTGATCTATAGCTATCGCAAATTTCACTGATCAAGGCTCCTCTAAACTTCTTTCTGAAGGATCCCATCTCGAACAAATGGGCGAGGCGCACGATGGCCGACCACAACCCGGGATAGTGGCAAGTGATGCTCTTCCGAGCCAAACCCAACTGATGTAACAGACAAATGTTTGCCAGTAAGGGGTACAGGATGTTGAATCCGTCCTCTAAGTGCTTCAGGTGCACCATCACTCGAAGGTATTTTAAGATTGCCAGGTTCGTGACTAGAGAGTCCCAGCAAATCAAAGTTGCCTGGATTGGAATCGGACTAAACATTTCAGAGCAGAGACCAAAAAGCTGGAAACGGGCTGACACCTTTCCAGCGAAGGTGACCAGCCAGCTCCGTAGCTCATGAACGATGCTTCCAGCGGTGGTTTTTGGTAGCACAATCAGTGGTGAGTGAACCAAAAACGTGTGACGCTGAGATTCTCCTTCATCAACTTTGCATGTCACGACCAACGACTGCATCATATTCATGACGCTCACAACTCTGGATTTGCGCCAGTCGGTATCGATGGCTTCTGACAGAGTCATGTTTGTATCGTCTACCACAGTAGTGGTAAAACAGTGAGTCGCAGTTGGCCCTGCACTTTGGAGGAAGCTTCCCAAAGCTGCACACCAAGCCTTCATCCAAGAGAAGACTACTCTCAATCGTCTCCACCTCTCTGGAAGGGAAGAATGGCCAGGTTTGTTTACCTCTGGCCGTGGCTGCAGGTCAGGCTTGTACATAGCAGCTGGGTGCAATGGGGCTTCCTCAGAGGGCTGTGACTTCCGTTTGGCCCGTGCCAGCAAAGCTGCTGCACGGGCCTTCTCTGTTTGGGCCCTCCGCTTCAGCTTCAGCAATTCACTGTCACTTGCACCATGGACACCCATTTCACTCTCGATGGACTCATTTGGTGCTTCTTCACTGGAGCTGGCATGCACAATGCCAAAACTTGAAGATTCAGAATCTGACTCCTGAGATTCCACGGGCACTGCTTCTCTTCGGGATTGGGATGTTTCGAGATGCCGGCAAAACCGCTCAAAGAATGGCATTCGTGGCTGACGGTCTAATGCTTCTGGAGTAGTGTCACTGTAGCAGCTCCTGTGTTGTCAGTTTACCTAAGCGACTACTTTACTGTTTTTACTTTCTATTGGCTGATTAGAAGATTGAAGTTTGAAGTGCTTGGTAACACTTGGGGTTTGTGCAGACTGCATTCTGTTTGTATTACATTACTTCATAGACTGCTGAACAGACTAGTGACTAGCGGGTTTTATTTGAACTTGTTGCCCGACCTTTCCTAACCTCAAAGCTGCGATCACATACAGGCACAGGATTCTCTCACTCCCGCCCCAGTGAAAATAAGTCCGTCAAAAACGTTCCCCTCGGGCCATTCTCAGCCTGATAGCGCATCCACTCTCCTGGAAGCGATTCTGGAAAAGGCTGCGTGATAGACCACACCTTAGATTGGGCATGGACAAATATAATCCAGACTGTCCAGACTGGAATTCCACAGTGAAACACGGAAGCACTGACACATTTTCTTTGCTGAGCTCAGCAAAGACTAGCACTTGAAACAGATGTCATAATGTACAAGCATAACATGCCTTACCAAACTGCAAGCACCAATGACTGCCGGGTTTGAAATACCACTGCAGCTCCAGCTTTCCACAATTGCAAACCCACGTGGACAAGAACACAAGGCAAACCAATGCGATGGATCAGTTTGATCAGTGATATTCAAAAAGAGATAAAGTTAGATATCACGGTGCCTGCAGTCATATATCAATAGTCTGAAATCTAAATTAAATCATTCACAGAAACATATATATATAATATATAAATATATGAATTTATAATTTATATGAATATGAATATGTGATCCGCCCATGTTACCCACGTTTCAATCTATTCATTCAATGCATGTCACAAAAATGCTGGCCGGTGGCTTCCTCGATAACGAAAGACTTGGGGTTCCTGGTTCGAAGCTTCTTCAAACATTCCTTCACAGTTCGAGCTCCAGGCCTCAGAGAACTTGTAAAGACAGAATAAATGCAGAATTAGAACGCTTGGTAGGGCATATTGTGAACTGTTTCGGGGCTCCATTCTTCAATGAGGGGAGCTCGATGACTGACTTTAACACATTGGTTTACCATCAATAAACTGCTGTAACAACTGAACTAGTGACTAGTGACTAATTTCAATTTATTTTCAGCCAACAACCAGTCACCAGTTGTTTTCTTGAGGAATGACATGACATAACTGAAAAAGCTAGCCAACATGGCAATGCATGCAGATTGCTTTTTCTGTTGAATCCAAGGGTCTCCAAGAAAGGGTTGTAACCCCTTTGAAAAGTACGCGAGTTGAGCCTAGAAAACAGTGGGCAAGGTATGCCCATGACGGCGATGTCGTCCTTGGCTGCACGTGAATGCCGCAATTCCTGGTTACACAAGCTACGTTGTTTGCCAACTCCGCACTAAAGATATGTTTGAAGGGTTCTGAAGGAAAACTAGGCTAGATGATCTATATAGATGGAACTAATTGTGGCTGCACAAGTGGAGTTTGTTAGTGTTGCAGTTGCAGGCAAGCATCGTCTAGGCAAAGGCAACTGTGAACCTTGAAGCACACTTGGCAGTCGCCTCCCTCCTGATCCTCTGCCACATCTGCAAAGAAATGCTGCCCTTAGTTTGCAATTTGCGAACGCTGGAAACTTGATTTTGTTTCATATTTCAGGTTTCAGCTGGGTTGTAATGCAGGAAAGCTACATTCATAGTGCGTGACGTTCCAGGCTTGCAACCGCTTGTCGATCTCACTGCTGAACTCCATTGTGAACTTCAATGGTAAGACCCGCTCAATGACTTTTCTTAGGTTGGTGTGGCAACGGCAAGGGCAAAACAGCTAAGAATCAGAAAGTTGCTGTTAGCAGTTTAGTGGTCAAGCAGGGTTAAGTGAGAATAAACAGACAGAAGTTGAAAGCTGGACAACACTTATGGGCGTGGCCCATGGCCAGAAACACATTCCTTCAAGGATTCAGGAATTCAAGTTGTCTAATCAAAGCCTGGCTCATTTCAGTTCCACCTCGTGCCAATGGGAAAGCTTGGAATTCAGCAGCTTCCACAAATTAGCTGAGATTCGCAAGGTAAGCGGTCGTCCCGGCTCCCTCACAAGCTCCCCACACTGTTATCCTTGGATTTACAAGTCTGTCTCTGTCTATGTATGGTTTGAAGCCCAATGCCAAGGCCAAAGCAAATCTGAAAGGGGTTGTCCGGTTGTCCATGTCAAATGTGAACACGGCTAGCAGTCACGACTCAGCCTGGCTCTTTTTCAAACAGTATTGCTGCATGCACACGCCTGTAGCCTGTAGCCTGTTTGAAAACTGACCTCTCCCTACTGCATTCAATCAACTGGTTTTCTACACTTGCCAATGAAGGACAACAAAGTAGGTTATAAATTATAAATTATAATTAGTTATGTGATGTTACAATACATTGAATTGTAGTACCTGCACTGCTTGCTTGCATATCTCAACCCAAATAACTCAAAACTCAACCCAAATCTGCAGACTGGTCGGGGCACGGGCGTTGCTCGGCATAGCTCCTGAGAACCTTCAGGTCTTCTTCATCAATCCCAGCCAGGTCGAGATACCTGAGACAGGGTCACAGTCATACCAGCTGGCTGATCTGGCTAGGATTCTTTAGATCAGGCTCCATAACTCATCATTCTTGCATCAGTAAGTATGCGTTGTTTTGACTTCCTGTTAATGGCCCTGGACTCTACACACATCATATATCATTCTCATAGCTTATGTGAGTCCACTCAGTATGCTGAACAGTGCTGAGATGGTTTAGTCTATTTCAATAATATCATTATTATTAGGCGCAACTCTAAAGAACAAGTTACGCTGCCAGCCATACGTCCGGTAGGACACTCATCTGGGGGATTGGACGTTCAAGCCTCTCCTTAGTTTTGGCAAGAAGAGGTGAACCCTCAACACAAGTCCACTACCAGTAAACTTAGGGTACATGTGTGGCTGGACAGGGTATACTTGATGCCGTGACTCTCTGAGCATCTGTTGCCAAATCTTTTGGGCCCTTCCAGAACTTCCAGCCATAGCTGCCACAGTCGTTGGCCGGTGCTTGTGCTTGGGCCAATCAGCTGACAGCCCATCAGTGGTTTTTCTATAACAGAGCTTGCTCCAAAGAAGTGCAAGGCCCAAAGCCTTCTTTGTTACATGGATTATGCCACAAGGGCTTCTCAAAAGCCTTTCTTGTTACATGGGTTGTTCCACACAGGGATTTCCAAATGGACAAATAAAACAGAAACCACCATTTAAAGGGACCAGTTTTCATTCTAACATATACCGTCTATGTTATTCACTCCGGCACAACATACCCAAGAGGATTGATTCTCTTCTTTTTGCTTGTGTTCGCGGGTACTACAATGCACACACCCTGAAAGACCTAGAGGAGCTGAAATCTTACCTGTTTTTTCGCCCTGGCTGTTAGCTTCTTGTCTCTTCTCTCAACCCTGGTGCTTGGCACCATACTCACCTTTTCTTCCACCTCTTCTTCCACCTCGTCTGCATCTCCAGGATGAGGCCGACAAGAAGGCATTGCAGAGCGTGGTGGAGAACAACGCCGAGGGCCAGGCGTTGTACCGAGACTTGACCCACGACTTTGCACACCACGCGGACGTCTTCAAGAAGCTCCTTAGCTAAGGAGGAGGGGGAGGAGGAGGTTCTGAGGTTTAGCTTGTTGGGGAGGGTAGAGGATCATCACTTTTTCGGCCTAGGAACATCCTTAGCTTAGGCGTCGATTTATCAAAGGGTAGGAGATGGTCATAGAGGATAGAGGACTGTCCCCTTAGGCCCTGGGAACGAAATCGATCGAACCAAGTCTTCCGTCGTCCAAACTCGGAAGGACCTTCTGATCAGCCAATCCCCAGCCGATCCACGTTTGCCCGTTTGGTGCCTGCATGCAGCGCAGCTAGATTTCTCTTCAGAGATGTCAGACGCAGCTCTGAAACTCTTATGGGAATCCCATGCAGCTCTCAAGAGGTCGGACGATGAAGTCTGAGAACATGAGGTCCGACAGCCGAGGTCGGAATGGCCGACGTTGAAGACATTCTTTGTCTGTTCGCACGGTGAAACCAAGGTCTGCACATTCACTTACACGCGGTCGGTCTTCACTCCCAATGAGCATTCGCACGTGAAAACAAGATGTGAGTCGAAGAAGTACAGTCCGGTTGCCGGCAGCCAGCGTGCGTTTTTTGGCATGGCTAGAAAACGGTCACTCCTACTCTGCACAATCATTTGGACGTAAGCCTAGTAGCAATGGCCTCCACCTCCACCCTAGTAGCGATGGCCTCCAACCTAGAAGCTTCTCGCGTCATTTCTTCATGCTTTATCCTTTTGTCTCCGTTGTCAGACTTGTGGCCTGCCTACCATCAACCTAAGATACCGAAAAATGTGACAGCTACATTTCAAGTCGTTCCGATTACATGGATATGATATAGGTGCCTGTCTGTTGTACAGTGATATTGTACTGTATAATTCCTGTATCAGCCATCATGTATCAGCAATGTGTCACTCCATTTGGCGCACCGCACCAAGCACACCAACCGCCCTATCGAGGTTCAAGAGCGCGCGGCCACCCATCGAGCAATTGTTGAACATGATCCCTGTCCTGAAGCCCCGCAGTGTTTTGGATGCAGTGGCACGGCGGATTCGCGGTTTGCAGTTCCAGCTCCTAATCAGGTTCCATGAACTTGGCTGGCGGCTTGGTCCGCATGTGTTGGATGGCCCTGAATAAAACAAAAGCAGAAGCGGCTGTTGCATTTAGGCTCCTATGTTCTACAAGTATGGAGGTTCTTCCCTCTCCATGTTTCCCACGACCCTGCCCGGCTTTGGTCACCCCAAAGCAAAATCTCCGAAGTCGTCAAGTGACAAGTGGTCCTCACCTGGTAGTGAATGTTCTCCCAACCTTTACTTGGGATGATTGAACCCACCGACTAAAAATTTTCAAGTTGTAACCACCAACCAGGGTGTCATTTTCCCCAAACTTCTTCATCAAGCTCTTCCATGCATGGGTGCTCTTCCGCCTTCAAGAGGGGAGCGGGTGTTTTTTCAGCCTTCGATGTTGGAACGGGACTGAACGGTCTGTTTTGGTGACACTCACGGATACTCGTGGGACTGGCTCACAAGGCATCAACGGATGGTCAGATTTGGGGTGTAGTTACATGCAACAAGGCTTTTGCTGCTATTTACGTACGGGTATGTGCATGCGGATCACAAGCTCACCTTAGCTTAGATGATGTTTTGAGTCTTCAGCAACCAAAAGGCACGGCTCGTTGACTTTTCTTACTCCATTGCCGAGTTTGTCATCGCGCTGAGGCTACTCCATTGCCAGCTCACCGTTGATGCATGCGGACAAGATCCAGCCGCTTCGTTTGCAGCTGAGTTCGTTTTGTTCAGGAACCACAGGAGGAAAGCCTGAGTTTGTTTTTTTGTTTGGAGGCAAGTTCTGATTCCAAGGGACATTCTCACAAGGAGTGTATCTCTTGAGGCGAAGCACCTGGTGGAAAACCCATGAAAACCAGCGACACGCGCAGTCCTCAAGTTGACTCAAGGGCCCTTGAGTTTGCAAAACAGACCCCAAGATGCTACTGGAACTCTTTTCCACAAGAACGCTGCTACTGTATCCTCTGTTTTTCCGAAAAAGAACAGTTCCCAGCCAAAAGAGCGGATGAAGAGAAAAAAAAACACCTGATGAACTTGCAGACCGGGTCTCCAAGAACGTTGAATAGTTGACGAACATGACTCGATGTCAAGTTCCTCGCAGTTTTACTCGTCCCTCAGATTGCGGGACGTGTTGATTGCATTGTTTCTATGCGATCAACACTTCCTCTGGCCATCTAGAAAGACCTTGCTGCGTCGACCTAAACAAGTACCTCTGACCACAAGTACCACAAGTACCTCTGACCTTCTTGCAGTGTTATTAGGCCTTGTGCGCGTGTGCTTGTGTAGGACATCTTGGCCCAGAAGCTGTTTGATCCATGTGTCCTTTTGGAGCTTTCTTGTTCTAGCAGCATGCTGCAGCATGCTTTTCTAGTTTCGGTGCAATCTTGGATGATTCCACGATTTAGTGGAACGTATGGTCCAAAAGCCCCTTGAAAAAGAAACAAAAGGGCTCAAAATGCCCGTTCTCTTAACCTAAGAGTTCATGAGCATCACCCAATGGCAGGGAAGGTGGTGGGTCCTGTCCACCGTTGCAGATTTGCAATGCCAATATACACTCCCGAAAACTCACATAGACCCTGACGTCCTGGCCCCCTGGAAGAGTGTTTTCCTCTACCATGGGATCGTCTTCCAGGGTGTAGTTAGTTACTTCAGAGATCTTCATGAGCAGTTTTGTCCCCCATGTTTGGCCACCAAAACTGGTCAGCCAGTGGAACACAACACATTCACATCCCCATGGGTCACAAACTCTCAGCATCATTCGTGATGTGTTCTGCCCCGGTCAGTCTTCAGTTCGTGTTCGGGGTCGCTGATGGCCGCGAGTCGAGCGCGTCAGGCTGTGCGTGGTGTTGGTGGATTGGACGGTCGAAAGCACCAAAGAGCTTCGTTTGGGCGAATGCACAGGCGAGGCGCCCGGACGTTCGGGTGGCTCGGGGTGGCTTGTTGATCAAGGGCTGGCAGAACTGGTCTTCAGATGTCTTCAGGATCCAGCTTGGAGGCTCTCCAGAAAAACCAGAGCGGTCCGGCGCCATAGTTACATATGACAGTTGAGATTCACATCCACATCAGTTTGTGTCTAGAGTCTAGGGGATGATTGCTGGAACCTAGATGATGAGCCCCCGGGTAAAGCACAGAGCCTGGACCGTGCAAGTCCTTGACTACACCAGCTTGTCCAGCTGACAACAAGCCGCTCAGTTTCTTCTTTCCGCACACGCTTCGCCTGTCAAGCTTCTCCACCTGGCCATGTCCTTGGCCCTGGTGTGGGACAGGGCTCAAGCGCAGTGAGTAAATAGAGGTGGAACACGGCGAAAGCTCAAGCAGAGCTGCATTTGCAAAACCAGGGCAACAAAGGCAAAATCAGGAACGAGAGAGGAAAGAGAGGGGGGCAGGCCATTGCGGATCATTGCGGGTCCTTGAAGAAACTCACCCGGATCAATCGCGTCTAGCTTTTGGGCTCCACCGCGTGCTGGCTCCACCCGACCATGCTCGCGGCCCCGGTCGCTCCGCGCATGCTCGAGGCTACATGCGACAGCAGAAGCCGGGCGCCACCATGATGTGCGCGGTGCGGCAGAGTGCCATTGTCTTGCCGAAGGCCTCCAGACACTCCTGAAACGTGGGTCGACCTGGGTTAACTGCGGAGAAACATCGATGACGTTGAATCACCAGACCCGAGAAGTTAGAACAGTCTTGTGCGGAGTTGGGTGACTTCGGCTCCTGCTAGTAGCTGGAATGGTTCATGAAGAAGAAGTGAAACCATGCTTGCAGATCACATGATGTTTTTTGCAATCAAAGGAAGACGCCCCTATGTTTGGAGCCTTGCCCTTGAACCACCAAAACCACAGAAATAGGTAGCCGCTGGGGAAATCGACTGATAGTATATAGTGATAGTGACTAAATAGACAAGACGCTCTCAAAGGACCGGACGCTCTCTTGGACGCTCTCGGCTCGCCCATGTCCCATCCCTGCCAGGTGTCGGGTCGCACGAATGGGCGTCCTTCGTGACGTTTGGCTTACGTGGTGTGTCCGTTCAGCGAAGGTGCGAAGCGCCCCGCGGGGACGGGCGCCAGGATCCAAGCAAGCCGGTGATCATGGCGGGCATGGGCACTGGTCTTGCTCCATGGCGCGCCGTCACACAGGAGGGGGAGCATGCGCCCATAGGTTGAACGTGGGGAAGGCAGAGAGGGCTGATGTGGGTCCCTGAATTTCTCAAGGAGTTAGTCAGTCCTTCTCTCTCGAAACAGAAACACTCATGCTGCACCAGACCAGCGATCCCGGTACCGGGTCTGCCCAGTTTGTTTCATCTACGTCTCGCAGCACCCTCCTGACGATGGGATGGGAGAAGCTCGCCATCAAAGCGGGCACTAGAGTTGGAAGATATCCCACTCTTGACAGGTGTTTTGTGGGAAGCATGCTGCCAGGCCGTTAGAGTGTGGATTGGCCCCTGTCATTCGTCCATCTGCCGTGATGTGCATGCCTGAGTCCGGCGACCAGGAGCGTGTTTGTCAAAATCGACAAGGCCTCAAAGTGGGCCCTTGCCACCTCTTCTTCGGCGCCCGCTACAACGCGGAGACCGGGGGGAACACGAGGGTCTGGCGGTGGAGAGGGGATATAAGCGGTCAGAAAGAGGTTTGAAGGAGTTGAGCAAGTTGAGCAAAAGACATTTCGGTCTATTGAGTTCATGTCCTTAAACGGACCTGGCATGAATAGCCCTATGAGGGGTTGGGTGTCCGGTGGTTTTCGTTTTGTGAAGAGATTGGGCACCTGTGAAGTGGTACCTGGCATGGCTCCTCCCTTGAGAAACTATTTTGAGGTATACCGTCACCGCTCAATGTTTTTTTCTAATTTTGTTTGAACATATTTGAGAAAGGGGGGTGGGTGGTGGGGACCCTTGTATTTGCTTACGACTGGGGTATAGGTATCCAAAAACAAGTTTGTTTGTAAAGGTACATGAGGACCGTCCGTTATTGCCAGTAAAGGAATTATGATGATCTGATGACATGTTAAAACAACCATTTTTTTTTCAAACCACCTGTGAGGATATCTCAAATAATTAGGGGTGGGGGGTGGGGGGGGGTGGGATACCTGCAAAATAGTGTCTATTATAGGTGGGGGACCACTTCTCCCCACCCAGAAGGTAGGGGGCATTACCTGCCAAACCCTCCATAAAATGCAATCTACAGTCGCCAAATTGTCTTAGTTTCTAAGTCACTAAGTCTTAGAGGCTGCCTAGGCCTGTTTGTTTGGCCAATCCTGTTCCAGGTATGGAACTATTCCCTAACACTTGGGAACTATTCCCTAATACTTGGGAACTATTCCCTAATACTTG